TCCTTGGGGTACACCACTAATAACACTGAACATTGGGACACATCAATAATAACACTGATCCTTGGGACACATCAATAATAACACTGATCCTTGGGGTACACCACTAATAACACTGAACCTTGAGACACATCAATAATAACGCTAAACCTTGGGGTACACCACTAATAACACTGATCCGGATGCCACCAAATATAAATTTGGTCTAATAATTTGGCTAGATAGTAGGAGCATAGGTAGGGGAGACCTGCGCCACCTCTATTAAGTGGGCGTATTAGTAAATTAGTTGCACATCTGGGCCGTTTAGATAGGATATATAAATTGGGCAAAGTGCTTCTGTTCTTTGCAGAGGAAGTTGGAGGGTACTGGTATGGGAAGGGTCCGGAACATATAAAGCAGTTTAGGTAGAGTGATTGATTATTTTCAGGACTGCAATCCGGCCTAATTTAGATAAACCAAAGTTTCGGAGGGAAAGAAGTTCCTTTGGTAAGGATTGGAGGAACAATTTGTGGTTTGATACATAATGTTGGTTGGTTGTAGGAGTTAAATTGATCCCTAAATATGGGATTGATTGGTTGGTCCATATAAACGGGACATTTTTAGTGAGGTATTGTTGCGTTTTTGGAGGTGCATGCCGGTTTAGAATTAGAGACTTAGTTTCACTGAGTTTATAATAGGAAACTTCTGCATTTTAAATTATGGGAAGTGAGTGAAGTGGGTTAGTTACCATTAAGATGATATCGTCTGCGAACAGACTGATTTTGTGTTTGGAATTATGATATTTGATACCAGTGAACAGGGATTCTTCTCTAAGTTTGGAGGCAAGGGGCTCAATAAGTAGTGCGAAGACAATGGAAGAGGGCAACCTTGTTTGGTACCATTTGTGATGTTAAATGATTTGGATAATGCCCTATCTGCAAGCACTCTAGCGGAGGGAGAGGAATATAAAGACAAAATAGCTGTCCATATCCAACCCGTGAGTCCATATTTTTGTAGAGCTGTTTACATAAAACCTCAATGTATGCAGTCAAACACCTTCTCTGCATCCAGGGAGAGGAACAGAGAAGGTGGTTTTGTGGATTCTAGGCTGTGTATTAACGAGAGTATTCTCCTAGTGGCATCTGGGGTCTGGCAGCCTGGTATAAATCCTACTTGATCCAGGTGGACCAGGGACGGGAGAAGTGGGAGTAGTCTCCGGGCTAGTATTTTTGCAAATAATTTCACATCTGTATTTATGAGAAATGAGTCTATAATTTTATGCACAAACTGGGGAACTTTACCTGGTTTAGGTATAGTTGTTATGATAGATTGTAATATCTCTTTAGGTAGTGAGCCAGAGGATGCGGCACAGTTTAAGAGTTTTGTTAGATGGGGAGACAAATTACAGGCAAATTGTTTATAATATTTGTTTTTATGTATCCGTCTCCTCCAGGAGATTTATTGAACGGAAGGTTTTTAATAGCTGATTCAACTTCCATAGATGATATTGGTTCTGATAAGGTTTGTCAGTCTCTCCAATCTTTCCCCATTCCAATTTCAAATTGTAAGAAATGATGTATGGAGGTGGGAGATGGTTGGGTAGTTTCTTTGTCGTCTTTAAAGTTTTATATAGTGATTGGTAGAAGTCAGCAAAGGCGTTTGCTATATCTAGAGGGTTTGCTACAAGGAATTAGACATTGGGTGGTGGACCGAGTTTATTTTAGATTTAAGGCATTGTTTAACCAATCTGGCTAATAAAGATCCAGCTTTGTTTCCTAAAGAGTTATATTTTGCTTTCAGTCTTTTTAAATTAAGGTTGTATTTATTTAGGAGTAAGGAATGAAGTTTATTCCTATCTGCGGTCAAGGATGCTGAATTGGCATGAAGTTGGGGAGTGTTTATTTTGTTCTTTTAGTTTAATAGAATCTAAGACCTCTTCAACTTGGCGCCTCCTCTGGCTATTAAGCTGGGAGCTCCGTTTTATGAAAACCCTTCTCATATATGCTTTATAAGTAGCCCATAATGTATTTATGGAGATGTCATGTGTATTGTTAATTTCTAAGAAAAGTGAGTGGGCTTCCAAGATGGTTTTCTGGTGATTGGGGTCTGTCAAAAGAATTAAGTTCAGTCTCCAAAGTCGAGGGACAGGGGACTGTTGCGGATTGTCGATGGTAATGCTTAATGGAGCATGATCAGACCACATTATTGTACCGATTTTCTTGAGGATGTGATGTGTTGCAGAGTCCATTTATCTGTGAGGAATAGGTCTATTCTAGAATATGATAATTGGGAGGGAGAGTAATAAGAGTAGTCCCGTTCTGATCTACGCTGGCATCTCCAGATATTATAGAAGTCGTTAGTGTGTAAGAAGTGGTTCAAGGAGTGATTAGATGGGCGTTTGCCAGATGACGAGTCAAGTTGGACGTTTCCAACAATGTTGAAGTCACCTCCAGTGATTAAGTGCCCCATTCTGTTGGAGGCGACTAATGCGTAGAGTCTCTTACAAAATCGGATTTGGTTGGTGTTTGGGCCATATACATTGACTAAGGTGTAAGGAGTATTATTAATATTGTATATAAGGATGTGGAAGCGACCTTGAGGGTCTGCAAGTTCGGAAGTAAGTTGGAAGGTCATCGTGTCTCTTATAGCAGTGAGGACTCCATTTTTCTTTTTGGGGTTCGAGGCCAGGAATAGTGTAGGAAATTGCTTCCCTGGTGAAATGGGGTGTTTTGGATGCAGCAAAGTGCATTTCCTGGATGAAAATTATATCTGCTTGTAGAGATCGAGCTTCTTTGATGAGTAACGATCTTTTTAATGGGGAGTTGAGGCCTCGAACGTTGAGTGATGCTATTTTTTTTCTGAGTAAGATGATGGATGGATATTGGATTGGAAGGTCTACTCTAATTAGGTTTAGCGGTACTGTATGGTATAATAAAGGTATCTTATTACCAGCGACAATATGCAGTTGTTCTTGGACAAAGGGATCCAAGGCCTCAAAAAGAATGGTACGGTCGTGCAGGAATGGTTGGTGTGTGAAAAATTGCCGGAAATATTGTAGAGAACACTAGAGTATTAGAGACATGAAAACCGCAAACAGAAAAAAATAAAAAAAATTATTGTGAAAAATACAAGAGAAATGGGTAGCATAAGCAGCTACTGTTAGGTGGAGGTAGTTGATCAAGCATGACACTAGAGAATTGTCATGCTGTCGAGTGAATTGAGATCTCAGAGTTTCGTAGGTTAAGCCGAGGTTTCCAGCTACCAATACTGGGAAGATATTAGGCAGGATTATGTTGATAGTGTTGGTGGGACCTCCATCAGGTCCATTTGTTGAGGTTGGTTTGGATTGTGAGGGTGGTCATCTGCAGGTAGGATATTCCATTCTTTAACCACCTCCCGCCCACCATATAGTAATATGACGGACGCAAGGTGGTTCTCTCGTTCTGGGAGGACGTGACATGACGTCCCCCATTCTATCCGCGCATGCGTGGCTCCCGGAGCGCGCAGCGATCGGGATCACCGATCCACGGAAAGAGCCGAAGATGTTGACTCGGTCACGTGATCAGCTGTGTCAAATCACAGCTTATCACATGTAAACAGGGAAATGCCGGTTATCGGCATTTCTCTCCCCACGAGCTGTCACGCTGAGGAGAGGAAAGCTGGTAATCCTCGGTGTCCTCGGAGGGGACATGTGCACTGATCATCATGGCACTGATAACACTGTTCAACAAATTTTTATTTTTTGCCAGTTTTGGAAACAAAAGGATCCATTTCTTAATGAATTTCACATTCTGAGTTCAAATATAACAATGAAATTTGTCAATTGGCTCTAGTTTTTCTGTAAACTGAAAGTTTTCTACTATAGGCGTAATGACTACATAATGCACAATAATTATATAGATAGATGTCTTTCCACAAATATAAAGCAAGTGATATTGACTACATAACAAAGCCTAAATGGCATAATATATTGCATAGGATTACCAAGAAAAATTATAGCCATAAGCTAAGTTGAATCATTTTAATACTTAGGATTCTCACTAGTTTTGTCTTCAGTTTGTGTCGGTTTTGCTTCTCTTGGCTTTTCTCTTGTATTCGAGGAAAGGGCTATCTCTTACAACTGCACGTGACTACACGCTTCAGGTTCTTCCTCACTTGACTCAACCACGAAGGATTCTGGTGCTTTAGGAATTGGTAGCCCCTCTCCATGAGGAACTGGACGTATTGCCGATGGAATATTTGGATATGATAGTGCACAGATAACTTTTTCTTCTTATTTAGCCCTTTTACAATTGAAGGCACCATACAAAAGTAACAATTACTAACATGATCTGTTGGCTCTCTCCAAATCATTGGCACAGCGAAAGGCATAGATGCCTTTTTTTTTTTCCATTCAACCATTGCTCCAGTGCCGTCCCACAAGAATTGCAGCATATATGTGGTGCCCAGCTCTTGTCCTGGTCTCCTATCTTGCAGCCAAAATACAAGTTGTAGGCTTTCTTAATCATTCCTGTTATCCTCCTTTTTTGTGAGATAAAAGTTATTTCACCGCAGATATAGCAGAAATTATCTGCTTTATTCACACAAGTTCGAGGCATTACTGAGTAGCCTATATAAGCATAAAACAAAATGTAAAGACACTGTCGAACTACAATCAGCTACAGATACTGCAGCTTTTATGCAGTGAAGTGATGCAATTAAAGGCTAATATTGCATCATCTCAGTATACATGCAATTTTCTATTGGTCACCAGTATCAATTGCGCAATATGCAGCTGAAGTTGCATCATAATTTTGAATGGCTTACGTCATTAGATGGGTGAATATATCATGGAAACTAGAGCCAATCAACATTTTTTAGGGTCATTTTCATTTTCAGCACCCCAAAATTATGTAAGATTAGCTAATTTTATGCCCAAAACTTTTTACCTGTTGAACAGTGTGATCAGTGTGCCCTGATGATCTGTGTAGCCCCAGCTGTGCCACCTGTCAGTGTCCATCAGCTCTCAGTGCTCATCCGTGCCACCTGCCAGTGCCCATCAGTGCCACATCAATGCCACATATCAGTGCCCATCTGAGCTGCCTTTCAGTGTTACCCGTCAGTGCCACCTATCAGTGCCATCAGTGCTGCCAGTCAGTGCTGCCTATCAGTGCCATATGAGTGCTGCCTTTCAGTGCCTATCAGTGATGCCTCTCAATGCCCATCAGTGCCATCTACCAGTGCCTCCTCATTAGTGTCCATAAGTGCCACCTATCAGTGCCCATCACTGCAGCCTCATTAGCGCACATCAGTGAAGGAGAAAAATCACTTATTTACAAAATTTTATAACAAAAACTAAGAAAAAACATTTTTTTTCCCCCAAATTTTCAGTGGTTTTTGGTTTGTTTAAGAAAAAATAAAAAACCCAGAGGTGATTAAATACCACCAAAATAAAGCTCTGTCAAAAAAAAAAATTATAAAAAATTTCATATGGGTACAGTGTTGCATGACCGGTCTATTGTCATTCAAAGTGCAACAGCCCTGAAAGCTGGAAATTGGCCTGGGCAGGAAGGGGGTATAAGTGCCCTAGAGGCAAGTGGTTAAGAAGTTCAAGGCCTGCTTGCAGATGTCTGATAACAAAGGGTTTTCCCTGTTGCTTGATTGTGAGTTTGGTGGGGAATCCCCACTGGTAGCCAATGCCGTTGTTACGTAGCGCTTTAGTATTGGATATCCGCTTCTTTCTGTTGAGCAACGTCGCTTTAGATAGGTCAGTGTATAGTTTAATATTGGCATGTGATGCAGGAAGGGAGGAAGGGCAGATGTTTCTTGCTGCAGTCATAAGTTTTTTTTCTTGCACATGGTGAAAGTGTATGCATGCCAGTACATCCCTAGATACAGATTATTATTATACAGTATTTATAAAGCACCAACAGTTCTCTCAGCGCTGTACATTACAAAGGGAGACAGAACATGCGACAGTACGAAAACAATACAGTGTGATACACGAGGGGTTCGAGGGCCCATGCGGGTAGGAAGGACGGTTTAGCGCTTTACAATATATAACGGGAGACAATACAGTTCAATACAAGAGGGTTAGGAGGGCCCTGCTCCTTGGAGCTTACAATGTGAGAGGGAGGGGCTTGTGGTACAAAAAATAGTAACTGTGGGGAATGGACTGGTAGGAGAAGTAGAAGATTCCATTATTAGCTGAGGGCAGGATAGGCTTCCCTCAAGAGAGGTTTTCAGAGATCGCCTAAAAGTGAGCAGAGTAGGGGACAGTCTGATAAATTGGGGTAGAGGGTTCCAGAGGATGGATGGATGGGTGATATTTGGAGACAAGATTGGTGATGTAATTTGGGGCAGAGTTTTATAAATATCTTTTTATGTTATTAATGTTTTAAATTTTATCCATTGGGCAATGGGAAGCCAGTGGAGGGATTGGCAGAGAAGGGTGGCAGATATAGAGCGGTTAGTAAGGTGGATGAGTTCTGGCAATGAGGGGAAGGATGAGTTACAATAGTCAAGGCAAGAGCGAGAGATAACAAGGGAGTGAATAAGTTGCTTATTAGTTTCTGAGGTTAAGAAAGGGCGTATCTTGGAGCTGTTGCGGAGGTGAAGTCTACAAGATTCGGACAGCGATTGGATTTGGGGCTGAAAGGACAGATGGGAGTTGAGGATTACACCTAGCACTCTGGCATGAGGGGAGGGACTGATGGTTGTGTTATTGATCTTGATGGAGAAGTCAGGGGAGGGGGCACGGACTGGAGTGAATACTAAGAGGTCAGTTTTGGAAAGATTGAGTGCTTTCCGGTGGTGGGGCATGGTACCGGAGCGGTCAGGTAAATATGCCTGGCTGCTTTGTAAGTTTGTGGCCCTCAAGTCACAGTGGAGCCACTGTGATAGCTGGAGAGGTGGCGAAGCACTAGCAGTGAGCTGCCATACACGGAACTGGCCAGACACGTCCCCAAGAATAGCTATTTTTCTAATAAGATTATGGGTGGAATATTGTGGATACACATGCCAAGGACCATATTTGACCCATTTCTGATAACAATATGTGTATAGTTCTTTTTGTATATGGGGATATGGGTGGAATATCTTGGTTAAACATGCCTAGGAACATATTTGACCCCTTTCTGATAACAATATGGGTATAGTTATTTTTCTACATGATGACCATGAGTGGAATATCATGATTAAACATTCCTAGGAACACGTAACTGGTTTCTAATTAGAATATAAGAATAGTTATTTTTCTACATGGGGATTATGGGTGGACTATCATGTTTAAACATGCCTAGCAACACATTTGACTTGTTTCTGATAAGAATATGAGAATAGTTATTTTTCTATGTGGAATATTGTGTATACACATGCCATGGACCATATTTGACCTATTTCTGAAAGGATTATGGGTATAGTTATGTTTCTACATGGGATTATGGGTGCATTATTGTGGATACACATACAAAGCACTATATGTGACCTATTTCTGATAAGAACATGCATATAAATATTTTTCCACATGGGGATAATAAGTGGAATATCATGTTTACACATCCCACATAATACATTTTACCCTTTTAGATAAGAATATAAGTAAATTACTTTTATTTATGGGAGCAATATCATGGATACACATCCAGCATAAAATATGTAACCTGTTTCTTATAGGAATATGGGAATTATTATTATTATTACACAGGTTTTATATTGCGCCAACAGTTTGAACAATATTTTACAACATGAGGGCAGACAGTACAGTTAGAAATACAATTCAATACAGGAGGAATCCGAGGGCCCTACTCATTAGAGCTTACAATCTAAAAGGGACAGACAGGTGATACAAAAGGTAATAATTGGGGGGGGGGGGATGAGCTGATGCATGAAATTAATGTACAAGTTGTTAGGTGGAGGAAAGAATAGGCTTCTCTGAAAAAAAGGTTTTTCAGGGATCGCCTAAAAGTGGAATATAAATAATTTTTTTATGTGGGGATTATGAGTACAGTATCAAGGTTACACATCCCATGTAATATACAGTCCTGCCAAAAATATTGGCACCCCTGCATTTCTGTCAGATAATGCAGCACTTCGCCCAGAAAATCGTTGCAATGACAAATGTTTTGGCATTGTCATGTTTATTTCTTTTGTTTGTGTTGGTATGACCCAAAAAAGTGGAGAAACAAAAATACAAATCTGATACATTCCACTCAAAACCCCAAAAATGGACTGGACAAAATTATTATGGCACCTTCTCTTTGCCCTAGCCATCGAACCTCTCTCACAGTAAATATGCAATAACCCTAACATCTGGGGACTAGAGCAGGGAGCCCACCACCACAAACTGACCCTTTTTGCAGATTTCACTTATCTCCCAATCTTTTGTCCACGCTTGAATGGTTTTCCGCTATCTCTGGTTTTCCAAAAATCTAAGGCACTTAATATCTCCGTACCTCCCTCCGCCCTCACTCTCTACTAATTACACACCTATGTTGACACATTTTACCAACCTCATGACTTCCTGTTTTTCTTTGACCCTACCATGAATGAGGCATATCACATTGACATTAAAATGTCCATCCTGCCCAAGATACTCTGTCTTTTTTGAGTCCTTCCTATACCTGTCCCATCCTACTACCTCAGTATTCTCCAACGCTGAACTCAGTCCTATATCTGGGGCAAAATTAGACCACGAATCTCTAAGACAACTCTTTTCTCCTCCAAGACAATAAGAGGTCTAGACCTTCCCAATTTCACTAAATACTATCAAGCAACGCACCTCGCTTAACTCCCTAAATACCATGTGGTTCACAAAACCCCCCCTTCTGGGTCGCAATAGAGGCTGTAGACTGTGATCCACTATCCGTTGCAAACTTATTGCGGCTTCGCCCGCAAGACCATTGCACAATCCGATACACAATCACGAAGCATAGTCTATCTCTTTGGGATACTCTCAAGACCTGTTTTGGCTTGCGCTCTCCTCATAACCCTATGCTGTCTTTTCTTCACGACCCTGCATTTACACCAGCCTGGACATCCACCTCCACGTTCCACAACTGGCTCCGCAACAGCTTTATTAGGACACACAGATTGACAACCCCAGATGCTTTCAAGATATTCCCTTATTTGAGTAAAACATATGGCCTTCCAGGGTCTGAAATATTCTGATACCTACAAATTAAACACTTTCTCATTCTCAACCTGCGGATTAACCCTACTTCACCAGCTATGACTAAATTTGAACGGACTTCCAAGGACGACCCACACGCACAAGGCCTAATATCCACACTATTCCCACCTTTTGGCCCCGCCATCGCCATCCTCTGTACAATACGTCAACAAATGGGAGAGAGATCTCGGTCAAGCTCTTGATCCCTCTGACTGGGAATATATTTGGCTAAATGCTAAATCAGCTTCACAAAACATAGTGGCCTTAGAAACAAATTTATAAAGTGCTCATGTGCTGGTATATGGTTCCCGCTTGGATAGCTACATTTCTCCCTACCTACCCTTCCACCTGTTTTAGATGCTGCTCCGAGATTGGCACTCATTATCATATCTGGTGGGACTGCCCTCTGGCCACCACCTTCTGGACAGAGATTTTCTGTATTCTCTCCTCCATGCTCCCCTACTCCTTACCCCCAGACCCAGCCACAGCCCTTCTTAACAGAAGACCCTCGGACATGTCCCGCTTACACTTCAAACTCTTTCTGCAGGTCACGACTGCAGCAAAACAAACCATCACTAAAGCATGGAAAACCCCTCACCTCCATATCTTAGAAGTCAAACACAGGATTACAAGGGCCATGATTCACGCTAAGGTTGAAGCAATTCAAGACAAAGTGAGCACATACAAATGGCTTTGGAAACCCTGGGTAGAACACTTCTTGCCACCTGACTTCAATGATTCCTTACTCCTCCCATGTTAGGATCTGCACCGGTCCTGGTTTAGGCCGCACCTTCCCTCGGGCCTATTCCACTGCTCTCTACGGCTTCCTATTGGCTACTCATAACTGCGATTACTCCCCACCCATTTATGCTTTTCATATATACTCTCACACCACGCCCCTCCTCCCCCTTCCCACCCCTCATCCTCTCCCTCTCTCTTATACCCTCTTTCCTCTCTCCCGATTAATCATCTCCTTCCTTAGGCACCACATTTTTTTTCCAGACTGGTCATTAACGGCATATCCTTGATCATGTCAATCAAGGTGATCACTGCCTAATCCCTATCACCATCACGCGGACAATCATGCTAGTACTACGACCCTCTTAATTAATGAACATTCACTTCACTGAATTACACAACCCACATTTCACATTTACACCTATTGGCGCCAACTTCATATTCAATGTTCATTTATTAGAATCCGTTTATTGATACATCCTCTTGTGTAGAGATAATACTTGTCACCGCATTGATTAATGTTGCACACC